TTCACTTGCATCCCCACCACAGAGGCTGTCAGGGCAGTGAGGAAGAGACTGCTGAAGGATGACACGTTAAACAACAGGACTAGCCTCACCCCAGACCATGTTTGCACTCTGCTGGAACTCTGTTTAAACACTACTTACTTCCAGTTTAGGGGGCACTTCTATAGGCAACAACACGGCTGTGCTATGGGCTCCCCAGTGTCTCCTATAGTTGCCAACCTGTACATGAAAGAGTTTGAGAAGAAAGCCCTGGCTTCCTTCGCTGGCACCGCTCCCAGCCATTGGTTCCGCTACGTGGATGACACATGGGTTAAAATCAGGACCCAGGAGGTAGAAGCTTTCACCAAGCATATCAACTCGGTGGATGACAACATCAATTTCACTCGTGAGGACGCCAGGGATGACTGCCTGGCCTTTCTGGTAGTTTTGCACCACCCCTTCAATTTCAAGAAGGCGTGCTTGAACTACGGGATCTTTGAATATGTTTTCATTACTCCGACATGCTGCTCCAAGCTTTTGTTTCCTTATTTTATGCCAGAAACAGAGCTGGTCCATTTGCCATCTTGGACTATCAGCGACCTGTAGCTGAATGAATGTTGTGAATTAATCAGCAAAACTAAAGTATAACAAAGATAATGTACACTCTTATAGGGGGTCATGTTGTAGATTATACTTTGGTTTTTGTATAGATTTAAAAAAACAACACAACGTGTTAATCAGTGAGCTGTTTGTAGTCTGTAGCTTAATATTTACTGTACAGACAGACTGACACAGATTGTCACAACTCTTGGAAGGACCTGAATAAGTGTATTTCCTACTTTAAATACAAAATATTAAAGTGTAGTTTCTACTTCTCTGGTTTAATGGTTGTGTGTTACTTTTAGTTAAGCGTGACTAGCTATATGTTAAAGCGAAGTGTGTTCATGATAACAATAAATGCTCTCTCAAATATTCCCAAATGTGAGTATTTCCACTCGCATAGTTTTTTTTTGGGAAACACTAAGTTTCATTTCAGTAAAATTCTGTCACTTGACCACACCCACTAAAGTCACCGCCTCAGCTCCTCTGGGCTCATCTACCCATTTCCACACAAGACATGATTAGCACTGAACTGTCTTTGGTGCTATAACTTCGTAGTCTTCAGAGCCTTGAGTTTACTTAAGGAACACAGTAGATTCAGGTGAGTAATTCTTTCGATTAATTCTGCTGTTCTTTCAATTGGTTTTGCTTTTAAAATACAGAACTGTAACAATGTAATTCAGAATTAAAATGTGCAAGATGATTCACGTGAAAATGAGTCATTGGGCGGGTCTGGATCCAAACTGTAAACAGCCTAAAAATATACCTGCATCCTCACTGTTATCCAACTTTCTGGCTGTTTTGTCCTGATTTTATGTGTGTATTTAGTACCAGACAAAAAAAATTGCATTATATGTATGTAAAAAGTCTGAAATGGCATAAATATAGAGCATATAAATCATCTTTTCTCCCACAGAAATCCCATAATGTCATCATTAAGTGTCCTCACCTCAATGCCAGAGGGCTGTTTCCAGTGTTCAATCTGTCTGAATGTTTTCAGTGACCCAGTCACTACACCTTGTGGTCACAACTTCTGCAAAACCTGTCTCAGTGAGCACTGGGACAACAGCGAGTTGTGCCACTGCCCGGCATGTAATAAAAGGTTCCACGTGAGGCCTGAGATCTCCACAAACACAGTCATTGCAGAGATTTCAGTGCAAATAAAGAAAAGAAAAGTGGAGACACTTAAACATGAGGATACACCATGGCAGGTGAAGTGTGATGTGTGCACAGAATTAAAGTTCAACGCCCTGAAGTCATGCCTGGTGTGTTTGACAACATATTGTGAAGCCCACCTGGAGCCTCACCAGAGAGTTCCCTCCCTGATGAAACACCGGTTGATCGACCCAGTGAAGAACCTGGAGGAGAGGGTGTGTGAGAAGCATGGGAGGATCCTGGAGCTTTTCTGCCGGGTTGAACAGGTGTGCATCTGTCTGCTGTGCAGTGAGGGAGACCACAGAGACCATGAGACAGTGCCCGTGGAAGAAGAAGGGGCTCAACAGAAAGTAAGACAGTTCAGGTTATTTTTGTTAGTTCTGTTAAATGCCCAAGAGAGTAAACTGAAGCTTAAATGGGAAAAAAAAGACTGATTTAATCATGTTTGTTGCCTTGAAATTCTATGTTTCAGGAAAATATTGAGTCTAAAAAAGCAACGATCAAAATAATGATCAATGAACGAATGGACAAGATAGATGAATTTACGGCATCATCTCAAATGAGAACAGTGAGTATTGAGACAAAGTTTATACATGCAGAATTTTACACTATAAACTTGCTAATGCGATAATTTTCATTACTTTATTATAGGAAAAAACAATGAAAGAGATTGATGACAGTGACAAGCTCTTCAAAAATCTGATGAGTCAGGTACAAGTGATGCAAATGAAGCTGAAGTCGAACATCGAGGACAAGCTCAGAAAATCAGAAGAGCAATGCAAAGCCAAGGTTCAAGAGCTACAGGAGGAAGTTTTAGCACTGCAGAGAAAGCACTCAGAACTGGAGGAGCTTTCACGCACCGATGACCACCTTCAGCTTCTGCGGGTTCGTCAGTGCTCTCATTAGTAACAAACATTCACTACTTGATAATGCAGTGCTGAGTTCACAGCATGTGTCTCTTAATCACACATTTTCCTTATTTGTCTCCTTGTTTCCCTCCCTTTGCATTGTAAACACACATAGGCCTATGTGTGTATACTTTTAAGGGTTACTTAGCTAGTAAACAGTGCAACGTTAGAAAAATAAGAACATCTGCTTTCTTGCCAAGAGTTAAGATTGAGATGATCTTGATACCGCTCTAATGTCTTTACAGTAAATACAGTATAAAGTTGCAGCCAGTTAGCCTCAGTTGTTGAATACATAATAAATAGATAAATAAGTTAGTTAATAAACTTTAGAAGTGCTCGAAGGAGGATTTGTTACTTTTGGACAGATGCTAGCTGCTTTCAGTTTTTATGCTAAGCTAAGCTAACTGGCTGCTGACTATATTTGCCATACAGACATGAGAGTGATATTGATGTTCCAGTCTAACTCAGCCGTGAATAAACTTAGAGTATTTCCCAAAATGTTGAGCTCTTCTCTGTTATGGTTTGTGAACTTGCTGCCTGTTTGGTGCTTTTATTTTGGTTTCTTGTGTCCCCTAACCTGCCCCAGCTTTACCCCAGTGCACAATTACTGTCCATTGCTTCCACCTGCTGCTCTGCCTATATATCCTCCTCCCTTCGCTCAGCCTGGCTGATGCATCATCTGGTCTCTGCGTGTCATCACTCCTGTTGTCTGTGTATCTGCTCACCAAACCCTCAGTCTGTGTTTGCATTTGGGTCCTCCCCTAAGCCTGAACCTAACGTTCTTTTGTGACAGTGTGTCAAGACACATGACTAGCAGACAATGATTTGGCTTGGGTGCAGAGGCTTAGGTCTGGAAAAAATAGGTCTGGCCCTATGCCACTCACGATCATGTGTTTGTGAATCATCAGACTTTGCAGGACCTGAGCTCCATATCAGACACCAAGGACTGGTCTAAGATCAAGGTTTACTCAGACCTGTGCATGCAGACAGTGAGGAGAGCCATGACTTATCTTGTGCACACTTTTCAAACTGAAGTGAAAACGTTGACAGTCACAGGTAAAATCTGTTGCATTTGAGAGAATGTCTTTATTTTATGAGTTTCCCATAAATATGATTTCATTTCTTATAGAACTGACCAGAATGAGACAATATAAAGGTACGTTCATGACTGGAAATCATAATTATGACTTAAATTATGTTATTACTAAAGATGAGAGCCTTAACTAAACTTATTTTCCTCAGAGTCAGTCAGCTTCGACCCAAGGACTGCTGGTACTGGCCTTGTTGTGACTGAATCTGGGAAACGTTTGAAGTACAACAGAATGGCAAGCTCCTCATCATCCGATGAAGACTTGGAGAAGTTTGACTGTCCTGTCATTTTTGGAACAAAGGGCTTCACCTCTGGGCGGCACTACTGGGAAGTCCAAGTGGGCCTGAGAAATGACTGGGATGTTGGTGTTGCCAAGGAAACAGTAATCAGAAAAGGCAGCATTAGTCTAAAAAGAGATAATGGATTCTTTTCCATGGGAAAGAGGGGTTATGATTATCAGGTTCAAGGTACACCCTACACTGTCCTCTACCTGTGTCCCAGGCCAAGATATGTAGGAGTTTATCTGGACTATGAGGAAGGCAGAGTCTCCTTCTACAATAATAATGAGAAGGTGCATATTTACTCTTTTATAGGAGAGAATTTCACAGACAAACTGTTTCCATACTTTTATCTGCACAGCAAGGCAAAGAAATCAGAGCCTTTGCTTATTACCTATTTCTGAGAAATAAACTCCTAGTGCTCTTCTATCCCTGATCATTGATTTTTGCCAGCTAAAATGACTTCCTAGCAGATTTCATCAGCTATGTACAATGCAACTACCTAAACAAAATTTAGTTTCATGACTTGATATAGGTGATATCACACCTAGAGTGGGGACGCTGTTGAATTTTCTAAAAACTAACTTGTCCTCATGTCCACAGTTTTTACTCCTTTTTACATAGGTTTTTCACTGAATGGTCGACATATTTGTGATCTTCCTGACAGATCTATGGAAGCAAATATGTTCACAGAAGATGTACAGTGAGTAGCAGAGTGACATGAGTGCCAACCAACTCCCACATTGACTCCTGTGTATAGCTGATTGGTGTATATATCAATTGGATAGCTTTACAGCTGAAGTGTATAGTTGGTCCTGATGTGCAGGGTCTTATTTCATTCTACTACAATATCTACAGTAGCATAACATTTTGCTGAGTAGCACATTAGCAGAGCAGCAGCAGGTTCAGTCCCTCATCTATACAGGATGTGTCCTGGCAGAGTAGTGAGTGCAGCTCAAACATTTTTGGCTCGGAGCCCAACACACGAGAGAAAATAAACTTGAAATGTAAAAATATGCAGCCCATGCCCCTCCTGTGTAGACATGCCATAACAATATTGCAGCTTTGTTGCCTAGCTTGTTAGTAACGGTATGTTTTCCCTTCACGTTCTGTATCTAAGACTCATTTTCACACAGCAGAGTGGAATACAAATCTCACAGTTCTTTAAAATATAATCTGTATATGATGGTTCTCACCCTTGGAATTGATGCTCAGTTACTACTGTTGGCAGTACACTGGTTAGCCATTGGTTTTGGAAAGGTTTAAATGTTTTTGTAACACTTTTACTGCAACCTCACCTTCAACATTGTCAGATGAAGATATAATCACCTGTTGCATGTTTTAAATTACATGACAATTTGTTTTAATTCTGATCATTCAATGAAAAGTTAACTCTTCTGAAGTAAACTAGAATTAAAGCTGCATACACTACATGTGTTTTATTACTACTGAAAAACACATTCACTGGTTCTGTTGCCCGTTTTTGGAGCCTCACCTGATTTATAACACGGAATCATCACCTCCTGCTTTATTAGTTGTATAAGAGTTTATGACCAACCAGGAAATTACAAAGTCCAACAGGGCCACCCTCTTCGCTGGCAGCGATAGGTGTGTCTGTACCTATACAGAGGAGGAACAGCAGCAAAGAGAGCAACTCAACACTGTTAGAGCCATTGGGGAAGACAAGCTGGGAGTTAAAAATGGAAATGTGAGTTTCAGTTTCACTTATCTGATATATAAAAATAACATTTTGATTAATACAGTAGATTATTGTCAGACTGAAATGCCAAACTGTGTTTGTAGTATGTGTAAGTTATGACTATCAGTTTCAGTTTCAGCCACGAATATTTAAACTGGCATGTCAAAACATAAATCCACAAATCTGAGATATAGAAATACTGTATATTTAAATACTATTGTACATATTTCTGACAGCTTTATCAATCAAAATCTATCCAATTTAATCTTTTATCATGATGACAGAATACCCAATTCTGATTGGCTGGAGGATGTGCAATGTTTTGAAATGGCTCTGACGTAGGCACCTCTTCTGAAAGAATACACAATCTGTGATTAATACTCATACATAGCTGGAGGTTTGTCAGTTCAGGTATATTAGATAATGACAAAATCCAAATGTGTTTACAAGAAATACATATAGTCATTGTGAAATGCCCAGATGAGGTTGTTTTATTAAGGACAGTGTTTTTTCTCTCAGGTAAATAAACTCAACTGAGTGGCATTTTCTGCTGACAGGTTTTTTATGTCATAGTCTTGTGTCACATGTACATTGTCAGTTTTTCACAAAGTAGTTCAGCTGTTTGGGAATCCTGCCACCAACTACAAATGAATGAATAATTTGTATGTGTGCTCTTACATGTGTTTTGGTTTGTCTGCAGATATACTGGAACCAGTTGAATGCACCATCATCTGTGCCTGCTAGTACCACAACAAATCCAACCACTGGTTACATGCATGTGCACACACGCAAAGGCAGGCGTTAAGTTTTGACTGAATGTCTGAGCATCCTACGTGCTGCATCTGCCTGGATACGTTCTCTAGCCCTACTTCCCTCCCCTGTGGACACTGCTTCTGCCTGGCCTGTATAGGAGAATACTGGAGGATCCATGGGGTCTGTCAGTGCCCCCTCTGCAAGGCATTATACCCTACCAGGCCACAGCTCAAAACAGACCAGACGCTACTGAGTGATGATGCAGCTGTGCCTTTAAAAGCTGGAGAGGTTCCCTGCGACTTCTGCACAGCAAAACGTCAAGCAGTCAAGTCCTGCCTGGTGTGTCTGGCCTCATACTGCGACATTCATCTGGAGCCACATTACCAGAGTGAAGACCTTGAGCGCCATCTTCTGATCAGTGTGGTGAAGAACCTGGAGGACTCTGTGTGTGGACTGCATGGGAAACAGTTAGACAGGTTCTGCAGGAGTGATCAAACATGCATTTGTGCCATGTGTTCCCAGACAGATCACAGGGGCCATCACATTGTTTCTATTAACAAAGAAGCTGCGAAGAAGAAGGTAAAGTCTAACAAAAGGGGAAACTTTATCAAAGACTTTGTCAGTCCATACTTTGGATTATGTAGCTCAGTTAAAGTTACTGGCTGAAGAACTGAGTCATCAAGTAAATTATGACAGAAAAACAACACAGTAGTCTTATCAAATGAAAAGCTGAACTCAAAAGCAATAAAACACATTCAGGGATTTAGCTACTAATGTTTGTCCTGGTGTAGTATGGCCACTAGCTTATGGTGGCTAATGCTAGCAGATTCTGCAGACAGTTTCCTAACACTATGACTCATTTTATGTACCTTCACATAAGTTGGCTTTAATATATGATTTACTAAAACTAATTAAACCAGTTCAGGATACAGCACTGGCATCTTCTATAGTGCATTTTACAAAACTAGTGGGAAATTTGCTTCCATTCATTTTTATGGTTTCATATTTATGAGAGTGCTAAAGAAGTTTTCAGTGATTTGGCATTTTGTATCTGACCATTTCACTGGGGTGGGGAACAACATGAATGAGCATGTGTAAGCACGATTTCCGTTGGTAAGCCACAAGATTTAGAGAACATCTGGTATTAATTGTAAGAAACAGGAGGAAAAGAATCACTGGTATGACAAAATAGTTTCAAAGACATTCTCATATACAAAAAATACCTAAACAATTATGAAAAATGTTACATAAAGTAAAAGCCAGTCTGTCTTGCGTCAGCTACATATTTTACAGAAATGACCATGCCACAGTGACATGAGCACCGGTTTCTTTTTACGTAAATTACTGTACACTGTGTCTGTAGCATGTCGTCTGCCTCAGTAGTTCTACTAACATAATATTTTTCCACAGGTCAAACTAAAAAGGAGAAAGATGAAACTTAAGCAAACAATTCAGGACAGGCTGAGTAAAGTGGAAAAAATCGAGCGTTCTGTAAACCTCTGTGGGGAAAATTCAAAGGAGGCACGGGCACAAATTAAAGAGGCGATCAAAGAGCTGGAGGAAGAAATTTCTGAGCTACAGAGGAGTAATGCTGAACTGGAGCAGCTCTCACAGACTGAAGACAGCCTCCACTTCTTACAGGTCTGCATCACCGGCGCCAGCCATTAAACAAAATGCAACATAAACTTTGCGCAACAACCACTGAGCCTTTAATGTTTCTTTCTTGTCTGTGCAGAGATTTCACCACACGGCTTCATGATTGGATGAACATGTTGACAACTTGGGTACAAGAGCACTGGAACAAAATGGTTGAATAATCCACATCCACATGTGTAGATGTTTGCTATAAAGGAAAAGTGTCTGACATTTTGGGTGGGTGGGGTTACAAAAGAGTGCCATATTATTTTTGCACATCTGTATTTGTACTGATTAAACAAAAGGGTATCTGTGTTAAACTATGAGCCTCAGAGGTGCTGGTAAGGCCAATACTTTTACCTTACAAGGCCGGGCCAGCTGTTTCCCAGGGCTTTCAGTCTGTAAGCTAAGCTAAGCTAACCAGCAGCTGGCCCTAGTCTTAACAGGCCCATATGACACCGATACTGATCTTATCATCTAACTCTCCACCAGAACATGAATAAACACTTCCCAAAATGTCAAACATTTTCTTAAACTAATTAATTTGACTATTTCCTACTGAAATTAAACAATATCTTATTTTTTTTCCCCAGTTATGTGCCAGTAAAACCTTATTGATGATTAGTGTAGAGCTAGAGAAACAGTACATGAACAAGAACTACAATAATTGCTTGTAAATTGTAAAATACACACTGTATGACTAATTTTATTCTGCCTGGATGATGCAATTTATTTTAAGGGAAGTGTGAGTGTAAAGACAGCACAGTGAGATTCAATGTTTAATTTCTTTTTCCTTTTGTTTTTGGGACAAATGAGCAACAATATCTATACAGAACAGTGGTGTACTTGAAAACAATCACATAAATCAACACTTTCGTGGCTTGTCAGTGAACAGTGGACAGTAAATATAAAACCTCAGTGAGTGTACCAGTAACATCTCACCACTAGTTCCAGTGTTTGCTCTGTGTAAACCTGCTCAAAGTGCGACACGCCCAGAAGCAGGCAAACAGATCATTTCATTGGTCATTTGCATGCAGACATGACTCTTTGAGTAAAGAAAGTGACAGGCTGGGCTTTTAATCAGAAGTGAAACTTAGCAGAGAGAGTAAGACTCAAAGGAAAGACACACACACACACACACACACACACACACATACACCCAGGCTGGGAAAGAGAGACACACACACACACCTGTGATTTAAGAAGCATCTGAATAGCTGAAAGGTAAAATTGTACTTCTCTTCTATGTTTTTTAAACTTATGCTTCTTTTAAAAGGAATAATCACATATACTTTAGCTGACTGTTCTAATACTTCACAATGTAAGTTTTAAAATGTGTTCAATTAAATCCACTGTGACTGTCTGCTGTGTTTTAGATAGAGTTTTGTCCATAACTGATGGTTTGGGAGAGTTTTTGTTTGTTGCTTATGCTTTGAGGCTTTTGTAAATTTGTAATTTAAGACTCACACACACCCACTGGCGGTGTCCCTGTTGATACCTGAGAACTACAACAGTGTTACAGTGTGATTGTATTAACGTTTCCTTCTTGTGCAAAAAGATGTACGTATGTTACATTATGACTTTTGAAACGTGACTCCATTACTCTTCTGTGCTTGTGCTACTGATACAGTACACAAGGCTTTAGCATTTACCATTATCCTGTAGTTCCATCTGTGGTAACAATGCCCATTGTCAAAATTACATTGCCTTTTTTGAAATAATGTGTAATTTATTGACTATCTAGACAAATATTTAAATACAAAGCAAACATGTCTCCAGTGAAATTCTTTGACATGCCACAAGTGAACAAAACAGAGTGACCTTATGGTGCCCTCTTTAAGCAGACATGGCTTCTGGTCCTACATCATCCAGGGAGAGCCGCTTACTGGACTGTGAAGAATTCCCAGATGTGAACATTACCCTGAGAGACATTATCAACCAGCAGAGAATGGCCCCTGAGACAAATGATGATATATATACTGGGAGGGATGATGAAGTGGCCTGTGACAGTTGCACAGAGCCAATAAAACTCAAGGCTGAGAAATCCTGCCTTGTGTGCCTTGCCTCATATTGTAAGAGCCACCTGGAAAATCATTCTTCAAATGTAAGGCTGAAGGGCCACAAGTTGGTATCACCTGTGAAGAACTTGGATGAGTGGGCCTGTCTGACGCATGGACGCCCACTGGAGCTGTACAGCAGGAGGCAACAGAGATGCATTTGTGTTTGCTGTCTGAAAGAAAGTCCAGAGGAAGCTGTCACTGCTGAGGAAGAATGGGACGAGAAGAAGGTGAATTTACACATAGACAGTCCTACTGTACAAGTCTTGACACTAGTGCATGTTTACTTTAAAAGTTGCAAACACACCAAATAGTGGTACACAAATCAAGAACTGTAAGCTTCTGTCATGGTTTGCTGTTGGGGTATTGACTTGCCTGTTTGTCTACTTCAGGCTAAACTTAACAACACCAAGACAGAGTTACAAGACAAAATCAAGAAGAGAGAAACAAAGCTGGATGAAATTAATATGTCGCTAAAGAGCTGCAAGGTAAGAAGGAAGAGATGAACATTACTGGTCCTGGATCTGATCCAGTTTGGAACAGTCACAGCTGACAGAACAGGTTTAGCTTGACTTTCAAACATCATAGCAGCTAAGCTTTAAATGGAGAGATGGAAGGTAAATACAGGCTCATCAAAACTAATGATGCCACTTCTGGGATGTCACTAAAAACATGCACATCCCTTCCTGAGTACAAAGTGAAGGGGTTTTCTGCATAATATCCAACATTTTACAGATTGTCAAATGGACAATGTATGATTTTCAACAAAATTTAGGAGCAGCTGGAGAAAGACTGGTGGGATATTGAGGCCGTGTTCACGGCTGTTTTTGCCCTTGTGGAGGAAGCCCAGGCAAAAGTTCTTCAGCCTCTGAAGGACAGGAGGAAGGTCCTAGAGAAAGAGGTACAAAATATCAAAGAGGAGCTGAAATCAGAGGTCAAAAGACTCGAGGAGACCATCTGTGAATTGGACCAAATATCTGCATCTGAGGATCACATCTTCTTCTTGCAGGTGAGAAGAAACTTTGAACATTTCAGGAATGTGGTGCTTTTGAGGTGAGAAGCTTCAAAGCTAAAGAGAAGGTGTGTATTTTCAAGTGCTGCATTAAGTGAAGTTACTTCTTCTCTTGCCTGTACCTTTCAGGGATGACATCTCTAATGTAGAGCATTACTTTACCTTTTGTGCTATATTGTCTACTGGTGTTTTGTTAGGTACTAGTGTCAGTTTGTCTGTCAGTTGACCTCTTTGTCTTTCCGTTTCTCAGAGATACCCATCTCTTCAAGGCCTGGATGACCTCAGACATGAGCCAGAGGTAGAGCTCGACACTTCACTGACATTTGGGACCATGAGGAAAACCACAGCAATCATGATGGAACAAATTCAACAGAAGCTGGAGAATCTGACCAGCACTGGTAAAAGCTGAATACTGGTGGTAAATGTTAAAAGCTAAAATGTTCACTCATTGGCTCTAAAACTATCTTTTCACTTCACAGAGCTTCAGAGAGTTCCAAAGTTTACAGGTGCGTCATAAACTCTGCTTCCTCCTAATGATAAGTTGCAAAATAAGACCATTTTGTTGAGATCATAGAATTATTTTCAGCTTGTTCTTAACAGTGGACGTAAGGCTGGATCCAGCTACTGCGTACCGGCACCTTGTTATTTCTGATGATGGGAAGGAAGTGAAAAATGGAGGAGAAGACCAGGAAGTAGAGGATTCCCTGGAGAGGTTTGATCTGTTTGGCAGCGTCCTGGGGTGCAACAGATTGACCTCTGGGAAGTCTTACTGGGAGGTAGAGGTCAGGAACATGACCGGCTGGGATCTGGGTGTGGCAAGAGGCAACGCAAACCGCAGGGGGAAACTCTCGCTGAATCCAGACAACGGTTACTGGGTTACTGTTCATTATGAAGATGAAAAGTATGCAGCCCTGGCAATGCCACCAGTTCATCTTTCCCTGAAAGAGAAACCAAAGAAGGTGGGAGTGTTTGTGGATTACGAGGAAGGTCTTGTCTCCTTTTACGATGTGACTGCTAAGTCTCACATCTACTCATTCACCGAGTGCTTGTTCAGTGATGAGCTTCTGCCATATTTCAGTCCACATGTAAACCAAGATCAGAAAAATGTACAGCCTTTGATTATTTCTGCTGTGACACAATGAGAACAGGACATGGATGAGTATTGAAGAATGTGTACCATAGCATTGTAATCCTGGTAAAATCGACTATGGAAAGCTTTTTTATTGCATAAGTATAACAAATTAGGTTGCCATGTTGTGTTACCTACTTTGTTCAAATCTTAAAATCTGGAAAGAGTTGACTAATGTTATTAGCTACAGATGTAGCTACTACATCTAAACTATAATTTCCGACATACACTGTTAGAAAATTTAATTCAGTGGACAGAATCTAATTGTTATTGAAAGGACCTATTGGTCCTTTGAGGTCTGTTGAATTGCTTTTCTCAGAGGCAAGTGCTGTTCTAGTAAACACAAAATGAAAAA